GTGGAACAATGTCTGCAGGTGTCGCATCACTCTGTTGGCGGGGCAGCGGGGCGGATTAGTGCCGCTGATGAGGGGAGTGGGGGGTCGATCATAGCGCATCTCTCTGGGAGGGGGCGACATAGCTGGTCGACGGTGTATACCCGACTGCCTGACTAGCCGGGTGGCTGTTGGTCTGATGTGATGAATGAGTGACTGACGGCTGGCGGGTGTCACGATGTGCTGCATTGCTTCGTGTTCACAGCTCGACCCTCTGCTGGCGTGATGTGTGTCGGTTTAATGTATCATGCCTCTGTATCGACGACACATACCATTCGACGAGTGCACTCGTGTGTCTTTCTGTTGACAAATTCGAAGTCGCGACATGCAAACCAAGCTACACGCCACCATCGCGTCACGAGCAGCAAAAAGCGGGCGCGGCATCACAGCAGAATACATTCCCACCCATCCCCATCTATCTATCTACTGCTGCAGCCCCCATGACTGCGGCACGAACGGCACGACCTTGAGCCTCTCCGCCAGCCGGTCCATCAGGAGCATGTCCCGGTCGCCCTCCCCTGACCTGGTCGGCCTGCGGCTCTGCAGAGTGTCCATGTCGCCCTGGGTGGGCAGGTTGCGCGTGGCGTGGTGGTGGGTGTAGGCCGCCACAGCCCAGGCGAAACCGGCCAAGTCGTGACGCCTGAACATATAGGTAGGTGTCGGCAAGTGGAGAGGGAAATGAATGAATCCGTGTGGTATTGGCTGCCTTGCTGGCTGGCTGGCTGGCTGGCTGTGTGTCTCTGACCTGACGGAGAAGTAGTGAGTCATGAGGGCCCTTCTGGGTGGGCTCTGCACCCACTGCATGAGGGGCATGTTTGGCTGGCTCATCATGTCCTTGACGACCTCGCCCTGCCGCGCGCTGCACCTGGAACACTGCGGCAGCAGCTGCTGGCTCGGCACGCCGATCATGTACCGCGTCCACAGCCGGTCCCTGGCACGCTCCACCAGGGCCGTGGGCGGGCAGTGGTCCGCCACAAAGGGACCAGTATACGTGCCGCACGAGTGACATCCCCACACACTGCCCAGCGACTGGATGGCGGGGGCCACCGACCGATGGCCGCTCGTGTGTGAGGGGCTCACGTGGCGGCCCTTGCGGGGGTACCGGAATGACCGAGGGGCGAAGCAGCCGGCGAAGAGCAGCGAGTTGGGGAGCAGGGTGCGCCACGACCCCCCCATGAGGTAATACACCATGGATGCCCCCACGCCGTCCATGGTGGCCTGCACCATGGCGATGGCCGGCTCGGGCGAGTACTTGCCCTCACGCACCAGGTACCCGGCTGTGGCGCCTGACGCCAGTAGGCCGCCGCAGCCCATGAAGAAGCCGGTGCCCGTCATGTGCGACCCGATGCCCAGCGCATAGCTACACAGCTGGGTCGAACGCTCCATCGTGAAAAAGGCCAACCCGCCTGACATATAGACAGACAGACAGACAGGGCACACTTGTACTGATGTGTGTAAGGTCACAGCTCAGCTCACCGAGTGAGGTGGCTGCGGCCACATTGGCGAGTCCCGGCGCTATCACATCGAGCTCCGTTCTCACTGCTGCCAGGAACTGCGTCACGGGCAGCCCCAGTGCCCTCGACACACGGCTGGCAGCCTCGCGGGGGTTGTCGCGCACCAGCACCGACAGCTCCCGCCACGAGGGGACTGTGGCCTCCTGGCTGGCGGCCTCGGACGAGGGCTGCGGTCGGAAGATGGGCCCGAGGACGACGTTGGACCGCTTCCCTCGCCACGAATCGTACAAGGTCCCCGCAAGCACCCCGACGCCGAACGCACCCACCAGCGCCATGATGGATGGATGCTCACTGGGCGTTGCTTGCCGCACTCAACTTGCACTCAACTCCAACTTGTTTCCTCCCCTCTCTCTCCGCTGCGCGGTGCGAGCTTTTTTGCGAGCTTGAAGCAATGGGAGAGGCAAAGCAAAGGAGCAGAGAAGAGATGCTTACGCTCGTGGTGGGCCGTCGAGCGGCATCGTCGATCTCCCGCTTGTTTGTGTAAGCGAGTTGCATCCGAGCTCTCGCCTGCCCTCCTGCCTGACTTGACCGAGTGCATCCCTCCCTCCCATCAGTTGTGACCAGTCAGTATGTCGGCAGTAGGGATGCCTCCGCACATGCTGGCGCTCTTCGCCGCCCGCCCGCCGCTGGAGCACCTCAAGCCTGTCCAGAAGCGCAAGATGCCGCCCATCAGCGGCGCAGCAGAGTTCGTCGAAAAGTTCACCGACAACGACGAACCTCCCGCACGACCACCTTGTGAGTCACCACATGCACACGCACACGCACTCAGATGGCGTTGGTGGTTGGCTGATTGCATCTCTCTCTGTGTGTTTGTGTCGTGTGTTGTGTGTCGTCCATCAGTTGAGACGCCCAAGCAACGTCAGGCGCGTCGCAAGAAGGAGAAGGCGGCCCAGCACGCCGAGGAGCTCAAGCAGCTCATCGAGGAGTACGACCCCAACGGAGACGACAGCGCCGCAGGCGACCCCTTCCGCACCCTCTTCGTCTCGCGCATCAGCTACGGAGCCGACAGCAAGACCATCCGCAAGGAGTTCGAGAAGTTCGGCCCCATCAAGAAGGTGCGCATGGTCAAGGACCTCGACGGCAAGTTCAGGGGCTACTGCTTCATCGAGTTCGAGAGCGAGCGTGACATGAAGAACGCATACAAGCACGCCGACGGCACCAAGATCGACGGGCGGAGGGTGTGTGTGGACGTCGAGAGGGGCAGGACCGTGGAGGGATGGCTGCCCAGGCGGCTGGGTGGGGGGAGAGGCCCGCCGAGGGGCAGTGTGCCGCCCAAACCCAAGACGCCTGTGGTGGCCGGGGGGAGGGGGGGAGACAGGCGACAGGACACCAGGGGAGGCACACAGCAACGGTGAGAAGGGGATGCAGCGAGGGAGATGGGTGGGTGGCATGGCGTTACATAGATCTCTTGTCTCTGTGGACATGCATGTGCCTTTGTATGTGCGTGTGTGTAGCGATGGCGAGAGGTCCTATCGTGGCGGCGGAGGTGACTCATATCGTGGTGGAGGCCACTCATATCGTGGCGGAGGGAGCGGCTATGCAGACCGCGACCGCGGAAAGTAAGACAGACAGACAGACAGACACGCCCACTCACCACACGCACGCTCGTCCCTCACTCATGTCATGTGTGCTTCAGGGATCGCAACTACGAGAGGGCGCCGCGCGATCGCGAGAGAAATGGCAAGCACAGAACATACTCACATACGTGTGCACTGATGCGACTCACCGTGCATATGCTTCGTTCCCTCCTGCCAGCAGGTGGCGAAAGGGATCAGCGCGACAGCTATGGGCACCGTTCTGACCGTTACTCGGGCAAGGACGACCGCAACAAATACGACAGCCACAGGGACAGCCACAGGGACAGAGAGAGGTGAGTGAGCCGTGAGACGACCTGGGGAGGGATGGCAGAGGGCCCGGGCCCTGCTCTCTACTGTGTTGGTTGTCGATGCTCTCTGTCCGTCTGCTCTTCTGCTTGCGTCTGTGTGTTCAGGTCGCGGTCGCATGACAGACGCGACGACAGGCGGGACAGAAAGAGAGACAGGTGGGCAATCAATTGCCAAGATGTCCATGTATTCACACACCGACACAGACAGACAGACAAAGCGTTGGGGATCTCTGTAGAGAATTCTTGGCTATGGTGGGGTGTTGTGGTGTGTTGTGTTGTGTTGGTGTGTGTGAATGTATGGGTGCAGGGATGATGACCGCGACTACTACCGCAGCGACAGGTAGTGACATGGAGAGCACACAAACACCTTATCCTTCAGCTTCTTCATATTGCCCGCCTGTTGTTCTCTCATCGACACGCAGGGACAAGAGGCGTCGCGAGGATGACTGACCGACGGGTGCACCGATCCTGGTGGCCCACGGATACACCTACACCTGTTTGCCGTGGGCTGTGGTTTGGTTGGTGCATGGATCCATGCATTCATGTGCGTGATTAATTGGTACTCACCTCCCTGGTTGACATTGACTGCATGATGACTGTGACTCGCCGTTTCCATGCCTGCATCTTTTGAAGGTCCATGTGACTGGGGAATGAGTGTACGTCTGTCTATGTCTGTGTGTGTATGTGTGTGCGTGTGGCGTCCACGACATGACGCTTGGCGAGACATCCTACGTGTCTCGGAAGGCATTTCCTTGGGGAGGCCATTTGGCCGTGAACAGAGGAGAGGGGACACACACGGGATGGATCAAGAGGGAGGGAGGATTTGACACTTCTGGACGGCGAACCAATACAATGAGCGTGTGGGCGTGTGAGTGTACTGTGATGGCTCGCCGACCTGCGCACCCACAATCCCTCTGTGTGTTCAACACACCAGAGGCGGTTTTTCAGGCAGGTGCGGCGGAGTCTGTCTGTCTTTTTCCTTCCCCTTGGAATTGGTAAGTGGCGGGTAAGACGAGATCAGCTGAGAGAGAGGCACAGCTATGATAGCTATGAAGAAAGACCAGACGGCATGCACGCTGATCTGATGTGTGTGTCTATCCCCCATCCATCCATCCATCCATCGTCATTGGCTCCACTCGCTCGCTCACCGGCATGGTAAGTCAGGTAGGTGAAGGGCAGAGAGAGAGAGAGAGTGGAGGGTCGGTCAGGGGGACACGTGTGGTATGAGTGCATGCAGTGCAGGTTGTCTGGAGTGATGTGAACGAGAGGGACGTCTGAATTTCTAAGTGGCCAGCTAGCTGCGTATACGCATGATGCACAGAGAACTTTCACATCTGTCAAGTCAGAGTCTCCTCATAGCCCAAAGCAGAAACGCAACAAAACATCGACATCGTGCAGTTCCTCATCGAGCACTTCGACCCCGCCATACGGGTACGCACACATACACATGGATGGACGGAACAAGTTGGCTGGCCGGCCGCACATGGTTGTCTCTGGTCTGCGTCAGGATCATCACGGCAACCTGGCGCTGGACTATGCTATCGACTCGCGAACCCCGGGCGCCTGGATGTGCGTCCAGGCGCTCGTGACGGGCGGAGGCATCCAAGTGACCAAGGCTCACATTCTCAGAGCCGTCGAAAAGTAAGTTTGCCGTGCATTGCGAGTTCGCGAGCACTTTCCCTCCCTCCCTGCCGTGTCGGTCCGTCGATGTGCGGCATGTGTGTGGGATGTGTGTTGAGGGGAAGACCGGTCCGAGACAAAGCACTCATCTAGCGCCCTCACGAACAAGGCAGTCATTCATTCGGATTAAACTAGCACGCATTAGGCTTTTATCTATCATCTCAGGCAAAGTGCGCTTTCCAGCCTTGTTTCGTTCTCATGTGCATCGTGTCTCCACGTGGCACGCATGTGTGCATGTTGCCACCTCGAAGGCAACGATGAATCACTGGGACAGCGACCCATACTTCGAGAAGTAGGGGTCCCCACTCCCCCTCAGCCCGCCGGCCCTTGTTCTTGGCCTGTTGCACCTTCGCTAACGACGACTTGGTGGGTTGGAGGTAGTGGGGCTTCTCCTTTTTGGCTTGGCCGGGCGTCGTGGGTGCTCGCGCTCCTCTGCCTCTGCCTCGACAGGGCCGGCGGGCACTTTCTCCTGGGCCTCGTTGTCTTGCGTCGCTGCCGGCGTCTCAACCGTTTGCGACGGCTTCTCGCTCAGGTCCGGAATCCTCTGCTCACGCAGGAAGAAGAAAGCCACGTAGGAGGCCCAGTTGTGGCTGTTTTTGCTCCTCCTGCCTACCTGACAGCCAAAACGGGCATCCTTGTTGTAGCCGCACTGGCATTGGACTGTCTCGCCGGCCTCGACGTTCACTTCGCCGCAAGATCTCCCTGTGTCTGCCAACATCATGACCATGATGCAGGATGGACAACAATGCAGGTCCGAGTGATTTCGTTTTCCCCCTCGCCTTGTGTCCCTGTGCATCGCCTGTAGATCTGGTATGTCTCCAGCGCTTCATCCTGGTCTATGCATGTGCCGCCACCCCCAGCGCCGCCTCTCTCTAGTTTGCCTTTTTAAGGCACAAAACGTTGACGAGGGATTCAAGCCATGCATGTTGTTCCGTGCAGCCCTGCATCATTCATCCAGCTCACCGAGATGTATGTGGCCTTTGCATTGGCACACAGCGAAGAGCAAAAGAGCTGCGAAGGATTGGAAAATTGTCATTGTCATGATGAAACGGATAGGAATGCACGGATCCGGAAAGCAAGTGACGTGAGACGCCCACGGCCCCCGATGTCCTGCATGCATGCATCTCGGCATGCATACTATACATTCTTCATTTTTTTTGAACGCCGTAGCTCGCCTGTCCTGTCGCCTTTTCCTCTTCTTCCTCTCTTCCTCAGGGCCGTGGGTCGGGTGGAGATAGCTTTCTCGACGGACGAGAAAGACAAAAAACGCGAATTTGGCGAGAAAATGTGAGACGGCCGCCTTTTTCGTGCTATATATAGCTATTTCACAAATTGCCATATCCCTTCGTCGCCATCCCTGCAGCCGCATCCTCTGCGCCTGCTGCACCCTTCTCTCTCTCTCTCCTGCGCACCGGGTATGCGCACCATATGTAAGCCGCACCATATTTAATGTCTTTTTTTTCCGCGTCTGTTTCTCCCCTCAGAGTGAGAGGCGCACCTATATCCTGTTCAGAGACCGTCCCAGGACGGTCAAAGACATCAGTGAGTTGTTCCCAGATAGCGAGCCATGTGCTGACTTCCCGCACTGGCATCCCCCGAAGGACGCCGCACCCGAGGAGCCCGCCAAGGACGCCCCGCCCGCCAAGGACGCCCGACCAGACCTGATCATATACAGCCACGACGACCATTTCCTATTTGGCAACCGGAGCGGGTGGAAGGACACACACACACACACACACAGAGCGAGGGGCGACATGGACACACACACACACATGCTTCTGCCCGTCCTTTGGTGACGCACAGGGCCGTCAAGCAGTTGCCGAAGGGGGCGCCCAAACATGCCGCCCATCTACCCTGACCATCCATACCAACGAGGTGAGTGACATGAAAACGCGGGTCTTGATCGATTTTGAGCTCAGCTTGCCCGTCAGTCAAAAAAGGAAACTAGGGCGACTCGGGGCGACTGGGAAATCGTGATTACATGGTAAATGAAGGCCTACGCAACAATGAGAGCTGAAATGGCTTTCTGGTGTGTGCAACCAGGCACCTGAATGCTTCAAATCGCGATTCTTTAAGGTATCCGATATGTGGGCGTGTGGAATTGCGCTGTACGCGGAAGATATAGGAATTCCAGCCATGTGTGCTGTGTGCTGTATTATTCACTTGTCTGTGTTGTGTGTTGTGCATATTTGTGTCTGCACGTACATGCTTATCGAGTGTGACGCCCCATTCGATTTGAATGTGCGCCGCAGGGCATCAACGTGATAAAGAATGTGGGAATTAATACATGGGTAGTCATTAAACGAGCTAACAACTCATGTGCTGGCTACCTGTGGCTGTCTCATGCAGGGTTTTGCGTTTGAAAATCGGACAAGGAGAAAGTTCTATTGGCGAAGGACCCCCAAAAGAGACCGCCAAGCACGAGCCCTTCAAAGGCGCGGCAGACGAGTATGACAACAATGATGATTACGATGCTAGCGCCTTCAGCAGCAAAGAAGAGTATGATGGGTACAAGCGGATTGTCATATAGTCGCGGCAGGTCGGCGGGAGAGGCTTTGGAACACTCTTGGTTTGCCGAAACACGGGACGGAGACAAATCAAGCTCAACAAAAGTGGATACCTCGAATAAGTAAGACGAAAAGGCTTTTCCGCATGCTGTGATCTGTTGTTGTTCGTGTTGCGTGCCTCGTGTGAGATGTAGAAAGATCAGTATCGTGTTGTCACTGAGCCGGGAGAGATTAAGACGCCCACCAAGCCGTCTCGGGGCGGGTGAGGAACGAACAAGAAGCCGGGCTCCTGTCTCGGATTGATCCTTTCTCTCCTGTCGTTCAGAGCTCATCCGGATGACATCTCGTTAGAGCCTGATCTGCGCGCCTCCCATCTCACAAAACGCCTCCTTTCGGGAAGCCCGATCTGTGTTCCGCATCCCCTCCGCCAGCTCCTGAGGGCAAGAAGACTTGAGAGAAGAAGGCGTTTTTCGTTGGATGATTTGCTCCATGCGTGTGTGTTTCAGGCCGCAACAGCGCGAACGGCCACGGCATTCCATTTGACCGCACAAGGCTCCTCTGAGGGTACTGGAGGAGGAGGCAACGCGGCTGAAAACCCGGCTCGACCTACAAGGCATCGATCCGGTACCACGAGCCGTCAATCACCAAAGCCCTCAGCAACAAGGCAGCAGAAACCATGCCGTCAACCCCGACGAGGAGACTCAAGGGATGTTGGCAGATGCCAAACTGGCGGTGTTCAGGGACATTTTCAACAACATCAACAACAACAACAACAACATGGTGAGGCAGGACACGTATAGTGCCTCTCACACAGACGTGCTTTCGCTGTGAACTATCAGGCGGCCAGCCCCTGAGTCGGTCTGTCTGTAGGAGGGGGAGGGGCAGGGGGGAGAGGAGGGGTGGCTGCCTGTCTGTTTGTCTGTGTGTGGGAGGGGGGAGGGGGGAGGGGGAGGGCGGGAAAGGGCCGGTGGGTGGCTGGCTGCGGCTGTGGTGTCTGTTTGTGTCTGAAGCGAGAAGAACTGTGCGTGTTTTGCGGGGTGCTCTGATGATATCTGTCTGTCTCTGGCTGATTGACACATATTCATATCGGTGTCTACATTTTATATTTGTCGACCCGTATAGAGACATGCAGGCAGGCAGGCAGGCAGGCTGGCTCATCGATCGGATCACTGGCTGCATGTGTCTGAACTGAAATGACACACTGAGATCAATGTGATGTGTCCCTTACAAGTAGTGTGTCCATCATCCACTCACACCACGCGGCAGACATCCGCACGGCACACACAGCCGAAAGCCGAGAAGACACGTACCCCCACACACCCAGAGTCTCCCCGCATGGCCACGACTGACTGACTGACTGACTACTGTACAAGAAACCCAAAACACACCAATCAGTAGGTGCATCACGCGTATCTCATGCATGTCTGTCATATAGGTCTGAGCCACTTGCCAGGCTCCCTCTTTTTCTTCTTCCGCCTGAGTGGCACGCCAAAGAACTTCTCCAGCTTCTGTATCTCCTCCTCCGTCGGCTTGATGTCGCCCTTCTCGACCTGCAAAATGTAGTCGCCCGGCCGTGTGCCCCACTCCTCCCTGTCGATGGGCCGACACACATTCACCGGCCACAACTTGTTGGTGCGAGTCGTCCTGCATACATCCACCGATGACAGACACACACACAGAGGAGGGAGGGAGGGAGAGTCATTCAAATGAATGACACGTCTGTACAGCCGCTGTGTGTGTGTCGGTCAGGTGTGGTGACCGACCTGACGAAGTTGATGGCTTGTCCGATGTGTTCGAACTTCTGTGGCCGGAATCCCTTGTGCACGCGGACCTGGTGGCGAGACCCCACGCGCATGTGGTGCCACCATATGTACACGAAATCACTGCAGTCACACAAACACAGAACACACACACACAGACAGACAGAGGCAATACATGGATGGAACAAGAGCGCACGAAGCACTCCCAGGCCCGTCGTGTGCTGCTCACAATGGCATTGTTGATCGGGCTCGGGCGAGATCTGCATGTGCAGATCAAACACAGAGGAGGCGTTGCAACGCTTTGGCGTTTGCAGGAGGTGTGTCCGTTCCGTTCACCTGCAGCGGCCGGAAGGAGATGTCGACGAGATTACGCTGCTGAGTATCCAGCAACTCTCAGTGGCCTTCTGTGGTCCTTGTGGCGCTGCTGCCGGCCTCCAAAGGTTTGATTTGCTCCTCAAGGGGATTCTCTGCGAGCTTGCGAGATCGCATTGGAGAAAGGGTAGAGAAGCCACCAGCATTTTGGAGGAGGATGACGCTGCGTGTTTGCTCTCCTCGTGTGAGGTTTTCATCATCTTAATCGCTCCGACGTCTCCTTTCTCCTCAGACACAAGGATGACGGCGAAGGCGTACCGCACCAAATGGATAGAGTTCCTGGGCAGGAAGACGCCCATCCTGATGCAGGCAGAGAACGGACCATGTAAGACCACACGCAAAAGGCAGACAGACACACACACGCGCAACTCTGTCACACACACACTCACGTCGTCCCTGTCTGTCTGCCTGTGTCGCACCAGGTCCGCTGCTGGCGATAGCGAACATTCTGCTGCTGCGAAATCGTCTCCAGTACCCCGACGGGACCAAGGAGGTCACATTTGACGCGCTGGTGCAGCAGGTCAGCAACGTGCTGCTCGACACCAACCCGCGGTCGGCCTCCAATGCCGCCACCGACGCCAACTTCCAGCAGCTCATCAGCGACGTCATCACCATACTACCAAGGCTCAACGTGGGGCTCGACGTCAACGTGAGGTTCACCGACTGCATGGCGTTCGAGTACACCACCGAGCTGAGCGTCTTTGACATGCTCGATTGCACGGTAGGTCTCCCAGCCGGCGGCTACAAAAAACACGATGGCTCATCTGCTCGATGCATCCTGTGGCTGTGGTTGTCTCTGATGTGTCTTTCAGCTGGTGCACGGCTGGATCTGCTCTCCCCAGGACCACACCACGTACCAAGTGGTGTCGAGCCTGAGCTACAACCAGCTCATCGAGCGGCTCATCACATACAGGGACCTCCAGTCCCGCATATTCAGAGGATCCTTCGACCTCGACAACCTCTCCCCTGCCGACAGCCAGCCACCGGCTGCTGCATCTGCCTCTGCTTCGGCTTCTGCTGGCTCGGCTGCTGCTGCAGCTGCTGCTGCTGCTGCCGCTCCTGGGTCGGGTGCATCTCTGGGCGGTGGCAGCCCGGCCGGCCGGACGCATCGTAGCCGTGCGAGTGAGGACGGTCAGCCGCTGCCGGGCAGCCCGCGATTCGACGCCCAGTCGACGGGCAACGGCTCCACTGCTGCAGACAGCAGGTACGGATCGATATGACACCTAGAAGTGTATCGCCTTTCCTCCCTGCACACGTCTGTCTATGCATCTTGTTTATGTCTGTCTGCAGCACGTGTGTTGACCAGGAGACAGGCAACCTCCCCAACCCTGAGGGCGAGCGAGATCTGGACGTCAACAGTCTCCGCGACCGTGACGACCAGTTTAGCCTGCCCGCATCGGCAGCAGCAGCCACCCCGTCCGCCACATCATCGGCGTACCCCAGGGCAGAGGAGGACGGCGGCGGCTCCTCACGGCGAGTGGCGGGCCCTTCTCTCGCCAGTCTCTCCCTCTCCGCACCAGCCGAGGACGACATGGCCTCGTCGGCCCGGCGGATGGCTCTCCAGGAGGCCAACGAGGCGGGCGAGTGCAGCCCCAAAACCGCCCCATCCCTCGCACCCTCCCCCGTCGCGTGTGCGGCCTTCCCCAATGTGGATGTGCCCGAGAGGGCCGCCAGCGACGCACCGCCGACGACAAGCGAGGAGCCAGAGGGCGAGCATGAGGGCGAGGGGGAGCCGGGCAGCTCGCCCGCACTGGGCGGCGCGAGTATGCGCTCATCGCGGGTTGGCAGGGGGGTGTCCGCATCGACGAGCAGCCCATCAGCAGCAGCTGCTGCCGGGAGCGGCAGTGGAAGGCCGCGAGCCGGGTCGAGGAGTCTCAGCCCCACCAGGGGAGGCGGCCGATCGAGCTCTGCAAGAGGGAGCGGGGGCAGTGCTGGGGGCGGTGGGGGCGGAGGCGCCCCTGGCCCTTCGATGCGCGAGATCCATCAGGCGATGGAGGAGGGTGAGATCATCCAGGCCTTCCTGGAGAACACGGCCGCACAGATGACCTATGAGGGGCTGGAGGCACTGCACGGCACCGTCAGGGAAAGGCAGCTGTGCGTCTTCTTTCGTAAGCACCCAGATCACACATACATCTGAAGGAATGGGGGAGAGAATGAACGTGTCGTGGTTGTGTGTGCGTGTTCAGGAAACAACCATTTTGCGACAGTTTTCAAGCTTGACCAGACGCTGTACAGTTTGGTGACGGACGAGGGCTACCGCGACATCCCCGAGGTGGTGTGGGAGAAGCTCAACGACATCGGGGGCGACACCGTCTTCGTCAATTCCAACTTCCAGGTCATCCATCCCTCCATAGCCGAGAGATCCGGCCCTTCCATTCATCCTTCCTCCGTGCCTGTCTGTGCATGTCCCTGCAGTCAACGAAATACGGCAGAGTCAACACGCCAGTCTCGGCAGCAGCAGCAGCAGCGGCAGCCGCCGCCCCGGCTCACCCCCTTCCCCCGACGCTCCCTCCTCACCCCTCCGTCCCCGTCCCATCATCGGTGGCTCCTCAGCCTCAGTCCACCTCGTATGGTGGGGGAGTTGCATGGCAGCCCCGCCCCGGCCGCTCGTCGCAGCCCCGCCCACCGCCCGCCCATCCCGTGACAATGGGCGTGCCAGTCGGCCTCCGGCCTCAGCCGGGTTTTGCTCCCCTCCAGGGACCCATCACCGTCACGGCGCCTCAGCAGATTGTCCCCAGGCCATCGCCCATCCCACCTGCTGCTGCTGGGTCGTCTGTTGGGGCGGGTCAGGGGTCGCATGCCGTGACTGACGGGTCGACCGACGGCGACCTGGCCTTTGCGCTGCATCTGCAGATGGAAGAGGTACCCGTACTGGGTGTGTGTGTGTTGGTGTGTTGTTGGTGGTGTGATGCTCATTGTGGCTGTCTGGTTGTCCTTGCGGGCTGTGTCTCAGGAGCGTCGTGCCCAAGCTGAGAGGGCTCAGATGCAGAGACCACAATCGGTACGAGGCCGAGCGAGCGCATCCATGGGGCGGCCCATCGCTCATTTCTGCCGCGTCCGTGCGTGTCCGTGTGTGTGCAGGCTCCCGTGGGTGGCGGCGGTCGTCCGAACGGCCCAGGTCGTTTCCTGGGCAGGCACCACGACTACTCTGGAGGCAAGAAGAAACGCGACTGTGCCATCATGTGAGCGACGGGGGAGAGGGAGAGAGAGATGGGCTCGGTGGGTGAGAGCCAGCCGCTGCCGAGGGGCCGATTTTGGTGAATGTATTGGTTGATTGGTTGGTTGAGTGGTAGCGTATGACAACCGAGAGGGAGGGGGGGAGGGAGGGAGGGATGTATGGTTGGTCGACGACGGTTGATTGCACGACGTTTTTGGCCTTTCTTTCTTTGGTCAATGAATGCTCCATAAAGGAAGATGAAAGTCACGCATCAAGAGTCACTCACGGGCAGCTGGGCAGATAGGTACACGCATGTCAACACTCATCACCGGCTACATCACATTTGTCAGTCCGTCAGCCAATCAGTTCGCTACGATCGATCCGCCGCCTACCTACACCGCATCAATCAAAAAAAGCAGCACACCACATAAGACATAAGTTCATCAAATAAGGAAGGTCACGCTATTTTGTCTCTCACCCCTATCGCAGCGACACTTGAGCTGAAGAACATCAATCAACAAATGCAGCACACCACCCCACGAGGAATGAGGAGATCCATCGCATTACCACGCCTGCTCTCTCCCCCGCCTACTCTCTTTCCTCCTCACCAGTGTGCTGTCGTCAGCTAAGCCGTCTATGCAAGCACTGTCCTCTCGAGCCCGTACTTGACCAGCACTCGTCTGGCGGCATTCACAGCAATGGGATAGCGTTCGATGTCACTGTTGCCCTCTGTCGCCGCCTCGGTCGTCAAGAGGCTGATGTCGCCATAGCTCAGCCACAGGTAGGCCACAATGGTGTCGGTCGTTGTGGTGCCCTTGACGATGATGAGTCGCTCGCGGCCGTCATATCCCTGGGGTGGATGCTCATTGATGAAGTCGATGGTCTCACCGCCCCCGATGGTCGGTGCCGTCAGCAGAGACCGATAGCGGCTGTCGTCACGACCGACACTAGCGCCAGCCACCAGCTTCTGCGCCACCCCCTCTTGGTCACACCACTCCATCAGGACCGTCCCCTTGAGGAATGCCGTGAATGATGGGAAGAGACAGCCCCCACTGCGGATGACGGGATCGCTGTCCTTGTATCCGCTGCGGTAGGGGTGGTTCGGGGGCAAATCAGAAAGAGGGACGGTCGTGAAGTACTCCGCACCGATCCTATAGCGCTGTCTCGTCACGCCCCCAGCACTCCCATCGCCCGGCTGCCCTCCTGACCCATCGCCCCCTGCACCCTCTTGCTGCTGCTGGTCGATGTCGTCACCTTGTTCGTCATCCTGCTCGCCCCCATCGCCCATGGCATCGTCGCCCTCACCCTCCTGCTCCTCCTCATCGCTGTCCTCCATCTCCTCGCCGTCCTCCTGCTCCTCCATCTCCTCCTCCACCCGCTCCAGCGCCAGGCTATCACCCTTGTAGCTGAGCAAACGGCCGAATGTCTTGTAGACGGCCAGGGCGAGAGGCAGCTCGTCAAATGCTGCAGCGGTGGGCAGCGAATTAGCCGACAGCCGCAGGGGCAGTGTCTTGATGAGCTTGTACTTGTGCGCCAGGTGGATGAAGTCGGTCATCTGCTGCCACACCGCCCCGCCCCGCTCCAGTGCATAGGCGGACGCCGACAGATAGCGAAACCGCCGGACGGCATCGCTGGCCGGCTGTGGGTCTGTCGGGGGGCCACCGGGGGGGTCGGTGTCTGCTGCTGTGGCTGTGGCTGTGGCTGTGGCTGTGGGAGGGGTGGGGCGCTCGACATCGACGAGTCCGGTGAGTGAGTGTTTCTTGAGGTCCTGGTCGATGCGCTTGAGCATGAAGGCCTCATCGACGAGTTGGCTGCCGTGTGCCTTGCTGGTGGGGCGGGCCGAGCAGACGGCCTCACACACAGACAGCATCGGGTAGATGTCCCCCCGCCACACGTCGGCCGACAGGTCGTCGCCCAAGTGTCTGGGTGGCGGCGGCTTAGCCCAGCCCATCGGCCGGCAGGTGCCCTTGACGCCCTCACCGATCCCACGCAGACCCTCGGCAGCCGACGAGAGAGCCGACAACACGCCAGGCCACTTCTGGGCGAGAAATGGCGTCTGCACAACAGCACACAGACACACAGTGGGAGAGTTGTGATGGCCTCATTGTGTGGGGTGTTTGTGTGTGGTTGACCTGTGCTGCGGCTGTCGTGTTGAAGAGCTCCTGCACATCGGCAGCCTCGCGAGTGGCCTGACAGACACGCAAACAGCCGATGGCAACACAGAGAGTGAGAGCCCACTGGACGGATGGCGTCACGTCACAGTGAGCCCTCTGACGTGTGGGTCACCTGTTGTATGTGTTGGTGAAGTGACGCGATGCGGTCCTCCAGCTGAGCCATACCCTCAGCGATGGACTGAACCACAACAAACAGACAGACAAACAGACAGACAGGGGTGATGTGACCACGAGTGCTCTTCTGCCAGTCAGTTGCCCCACCGATTTGCTATCAGATGCGGTCATTTCCTCTCCTCCCTGTGTGCGGGGCCGTTTGGGCGGCGCGCCACCCTCGTCACTCATCGACATGACTGCAGCAAACACACACACACAGGCACAGGCACAGCGAGCCGGAGCAACTTACACCATCGTGATGAGTGGCTGCGGCCATTGTCGTGCTCACCTTAGTTCTCTCGTCGAGTCACGTCGGTGAGGCGGCTCCGTCTGTCGGTCGGCGTGAATGCGCCAAACAGACAGACAGACAGCTATGAGCGATTCTCTCGGACCTGCCGTCCTTCTCAGCAACACGGAGAGGCCGGCGACTACACTATGAGTGATGAGTTGCGGTCTTCACACGCAGCCGTCACCCTTCTTGGCCTTGCCAAGAACCTCAAACCTCAAACCCAGGCCCTGCCTTCGTTCTTGAGCTTGCTTTTGTCCTTGGTGATTTGGCGGCGATGGCGGACAGGGGAGCCAAGCGGACGGCCGCAGAGGCCTTCCTGGACCAAAACGTCAAAATGAAAGTCAGCCAAACCGAAACCAACAACTGACGCATCGCCTGCAGCTCATTCATCCCATCTGCTGCTGTCTGTGCGATTCGTTTGTTCTCTCCCAGGAGGATGACGACATTGTGTTCTCCGAGTCCGAGTTGTTTCAGCTGGCGTGTCGCGCGAAGGCCTGCCTGGCGTACGCCTCGCGCGGCTTCTGCCCCGCCCTGGACGACCTCTTGCAGGTGTGTGCCGTGCTGTCTGATGAGGACAGAGAGATCATCGCCAACAAACTACACGCAGCCACACAGGTCACCAAACGCCACTCACTCATGGCCGGCCTCTTGTGGGGAGAGATTCATTGTTTGTTTGTTTGGTGTGGTGTGTCAGGGTGACGGCCGGTCGCAGAGCGGCTCGAAGCGATTCGAGAGCCGGCTGCATCTCATCAAGTGAGACACACACACAGAGAGATCCATCCACCGGAATCTTGCACGTCTGTCTGTCTGTCTGTGTGTTGTGTGTGTCGGTGTGTGTGTCAGTGACATGCTGAGCCTGCCTCCGTCGGGTTCGGCGCTTGAGTTGCAGGAGCGTGTGGTGTGGACGCCCGAGACGCGCAAGATGATGGCCTTCGAGCGACGCAAACTGCACCTCAGAGACCTGCAAGTCATGTACAGAAACAAGGTAGGTGCGCCGGGCACTGCACACTGCCCACAGACACCACACCCACCCCATGTGTCTGTCATCGTGACCATGATCATGTCTGTGGATTGTGTGTCAGTTGGTGCGCGAGAGGGTCGAGTCGGGCGAGGAGCTGCCGGCCAGCTGGGGCGACGCCAGTGTGCGCGACAAGGAGACCTCTTCGGGGGTGGAGCCGCTCGTCAGGCCGCCGCTGCAGCCCATCGGCAGGGCTCAAGCCAAGAGGTCAGTCAGTCAGTCAGGCCGAAGGCAGCTCCTCAGACACGTGTTGTGTTGTGTTGGTGTGCCATTCCTCCTTGCCACCACTCGTCAGGACGTTTGACGACGTGTTGTCCCGTGCGTACGAGACGCTGCGGAGCAAGCCAGAGGACCTGCAGCAGATCAGATACCGCACGGTCGTCGCACAGATGCCATCGGTGGGCATGCAGACAGACAGGCAGACAGACAGACAGACAGAGATGGAGAGGGCTGGGAGGGGAGGGGAGATGATGCGTGACGGTGCTGTTTTGTGAATGTGTGTGCAGCATTACCTGTCGTTGCGCAAGGAGTGGGAGTCCAAGCAGGCCCGGCAGACCACACTCGCCAGATCGTGCAAACAGTACATCGGTAGGCCACCCACCCACCCACCCAGCCAGCCAGCCAGCCAGCCACTTGCCCACCTGTCTGCACCCACCCCCCTCTCCCATCTCTCTCTCTCTCTCTTTCATTATCGTTGCAGATGCAGTCCTGTTGCGCAAGGCCGCTCTGCAGGAGCAAGCCGAGAAGAACCGGTACCCACCACACACACACATCAGCCAACAGCAGGCCTCTTTATCTCGTGTGCATCTGTCGTGTCGTCTGGTGCTGTGGTTTGGCCTGTTCAGTTTGCGTGCGTTGAAGGCCAACAACTTGGAGGAGTACATATCGTTGGTGCGCCAGACCAAGAACCGCCGGCTGCAGGAGCTCCTCGACCAGACCGACAACTTCCTCAAAGACATGGGCGCGAGAGTCGACGTACAACGCAAAACTGGCAGAGGGGCCGCGTAAGCACACTTGACACGACCCTTCATGTCGTTCTATGTTGGTTTCTGTCGTGTGTGGGTAGTGGTGCATCGTCATCGTCGGCAGCAGCCGCAGCAGCAGGAGGTGTTGGTGAGTCGGACGACATGATGAGCATGCAGGAGATGCAGCACGAAGGCATGAGCTCCGCAAGCGTAACGCTACCACACCACACCCACCCACACCACCCATGTGTGCTGGTGTCCATGTCCCCCCTGCAGATGGATGACGGCCCCGCTGCAGCGCCCCCCGCACCATTGGAGCATCCCGCAGCACCATCCGACACAGACGCTGACGCGCCGATGCCCCCAGCCCCTGCTGCTGAGGACGACGAGCATGCGCAGCAGCAGCAGCAGCAGCAGCACGAGGGCGGTGAAGTCGATGTCGATGTCGACGGCGCGCAGCCGATGGATGTCGAGGGCGATGGCGGCGGTGGTGGTGGCGACGATGGTGTGAGGGAGCAGGGTGCGTCTTCATCTGGTGCTGTGGGTGGCGGTGGGTTGACGAGGGACGTGTACTATCAGCTGTCGCACACCATTCGCGAGACCGTCACGCAGCCGTCGATTCTCGTTGGTAATGATACATATATCATGGCTGAACAGCAGGCAGACAGAAAAGGGGTGTGTGGTGTTGCGTATGGTGTTGTGTGTGGTGTTGTGTGTAGGCGGTACGTTGCTGCCGTATCAGTTGACGGGGCTGGAGTGGATGGTGTCGCTCTACAACAACAACCTACACGGCATACTCGGTACTCTCACACAGACGTATACCGACCACAGCGATGAAGGCTCCCGCTTTGTCTCTCTGTCTGTGTTGTGTTGTGCTTTCTCTCCCTGTCTGCCTGGCTGCACATATATCACGACAGCTGACGAGATGGGACTTGGTGAGGCCACTGAACTGAACCACTCACCAAGCAGTGTCCATCGATCGCTATCGGTCTCCCTCCCTGTGTGTGTTGTGTTGTGGTGTGCACTGCAGGCAAGACCGTCCAAACCATCGCACTCTTTGCGTACCTTCGAGAATACAAGAGCGACCCCGGTCAGTCTCACACACACAGACACGCACAAAGACTCTCTCTCCATCCACGTCACCTGCACACACGTCGGCTCCTTCCTCTGTGGTGTGTGCGTGTGGGGTCATCAGGTCCGCATTTGGTCGTGGCGCCTCTGTCGACGATTCCCAACTGGGAGGCCGAGTTCCGCAAATGGTGCCCAACACAATACACACACACACACACAGAGAGAGAGAGAGAGAGAGAGAGAGAAGTAAACAAGGAGCCTTCGTCAATGTGGCTCGTATGCGTATGTGCCTACCGAGTATGCCGTGTAGGTGCCCCGCACTCGGATGCGTCGCATTCAAAGTCAGACACACACACCACACCACACCACACACCACACACAACAGGCACACACAGACGGATCTTCGTCTGTCTCTTTGGTTGATCAATCAATGAATCAATGAATCAGGGTTCCAAGGACGAGCGTCTGCAGTCGAAGGGTGTGCTCAAGACGGGCCGCTTCAACGTCTGCCTCACCACGCCCGAATACGTCATCCGGGAGAGGGCCACACTCGCCAAACAGAGATGGAGGGTCGGTGGCTGCACACACATCACTCTGTCACATAGCATGCAACGCCCTCATGCGCGTGTGTGTTGACACATCCGTCCGTCCACAGCACATCGTTGTGGACGAGGGCCACCGGATGAAGAGCGCCAAGTCCAAGTTCCACGTCAACATGCAGGACTTCGAGTCGACTCACAGACTGCTGCTCACCGGCACACCACTACAGGTAGGAGGGAGGGAGGCACACACAGGAAGACTGCTTGTGCCATCCATCCATCCATCCATTCGCTCGTTCGTTGGCCTACCGATCAGAACAATTTGACTGAGTTGTGGAGTTTGCTCAACTTTCTGCTGCCGAAGATCTTCCAGAGGGCAGACGACTTCGAAAGGCACGCACCACCAAACCACCAAACCACTCGCCCACCAACACACTCGTGCGGTGGCTGTGTGTGTGCAGGTGGTTCAACGAGCCGTTTTCGCAGCTGCCGTCTCAGGAGCAGGAGGCCGCACTCACAGAGGAGGAGCAGCTGCTCATCATCAACAGACTGCACTCGGTATTTCAGCACGTCACCACACGCACTCTCACATGGTCACCCATGTGTGTGTGTGTTGGTGTGTGTATTGTGTTTGGGTGTGTGCAGGTGTTGCGTCCGTTTCTGCTGCGTCGGATCAAGAAGGATGTGTTGGAGGAGCTGCCCGACAAGCAGGAGTACGTCATACGTGTCGAGCTCAGCGAATGGCAGAAAATCGTCTACAAACAAATCGAAAACAGAGCACTCAGGTCAGTCAGGGAGCGGGCGAGGCGACCCCCTCATCCATCCATCCATCCAGCCATCCATGTGTGTGTGTGTGCAGGACTGTCGACTCGTCTGGCCGTGTGACCAACAAGAGTTTGCAGAACCACCTGATGCAGCTGCGCAAGATCGTCAACCACCCCTACCTCTTTGTCGAGGAGTACACCCTCAACAGAGACCTCTACAGAGTCTCAGGCAAATTCGAAGTCCTCGACCGGTCCGCACCCACACCCACAGCTCCACCCTCACCCCAAATGCGTCTGTTTCTAAGTGTCTGTGTCTTGTGTGTCTTGTGTGTGTCCATTGTCCGTCAGTTTGCTGCCCAAGCTGCTCCGGTTCGACCACAAGGTGTTGATATTCTGCCAGATGACCCGGCTGATGGACATCCTGGCCGACTACCTCGAGTGGCGCACCATCGACTTCCTCCGACTCGACGGTGGCGTCAACGTCGACGAGCGGTACACAGAAAGCGCTCACTCGCCATACACACACAGACAGAGAGACGCCCACTCACGTGTGGGCCTTCTTGGGTGGTTGGTTGGTCCGATGCTGCAGAAAGGAGCGCATGGAGGAGTTCAACCGTGCCGAGTCGAACAAGAAGATCTTCATGCTCTCAACACGGTAAGGTGACGGCCTTCCTGCACCCACACATCGCCATCAATCATCTTACGCTCATGCTTCTGCCCGGTTGTGTGTGTGTGTGTGTGTGTTGCAGTGCTGGTGGCCTGGGGTTGAACCTGCAGGCGGCCGACACGGTGATACTGTTCGACAGCGACTTCAACCCCCAGCAGGACCTGCAGGCACAAAACAGAGCCCACAGAGTCGGACAAACCAAAGAAGTCAGGTACGTGACCTGACGCCAACGACTGCACGACGCCACACCGCTCATGACAATGTCCTGTCTCTCTCTCTCTCTCTGTCTGTGTGTGTGTGTGTGTGTGTAGGGTGTATCGTTTGATCACGTTGTCGCCCGTCGAGGAGCTGGTGCTGCTCAAGGCACAACACAAACTAGACATCGACGAGAAAATCATACAGGTACCCATGGATGACATCCATCCCACAACCACATACCTCCCATTACATGTTTTGTTGTGTTGTGTGTCACTGTGTGTGCACAGGCTGGTTTGTTCGACACCGAGTCGACGGAGAAGGAGCGTCAGGAGCGGCTCAAGTCGCTATTCGAGGGCAGCGAACAGCAGCAAGAGGCACGAGTCACCACACCCGAACAGGTCACCCACCCACACACACACACACAGACAGCTCAAGCCACCCACCACACCACACCACACCACACACAGTGGCCTCCTGTGTGCAGTTGAACAAGATGCTGGCCCGTTCTGACGAGGAAATGGCCTACTTTGAGGAATACGACGAACCCTTATTCAACAATGCCGCCAATAACAACACAGCCACAGCCACAGCCACTGCAGCAGCACCACCACCGGCATCAGCATCAGGTGACCAGGAGCACCACCAGCCGTGGCTCGAGTCCGCGGCCGTGTCGTCTCTGCTGGTGCGGAGCGGCCGGCTGATGGCGCCCACGGAGCTGCCGTCGTGGGTGGTGACTGACCTGAGTGCTGCCGACATTCCGGACGAGCCCGACCCGCTGCAGCTGGACCGCACCAGCCGGAAGGCGCGCAAGAAGGGCGTCATGATCAACGACAACATCAGCGACAGGCAGTACGTCCGCATCATGGAACGACTCGCTGACGGACAGGCCGTAAGCGTCCATCCATCCATCCATCCACCCTCTCATGTGGGTATGTGTGTGGGTGTGGTTTAAATGTTGCAGGGGAGTGTTGAGGAGGCTGTGGCGCAGGAGGATGAAAGACGGAAGGCCCGCAAGCGCAAGAGGAGGAGGATGAAGCAGATGCGCCAGGAGCAGCAGCAACAGGCAGCCGCCGCTGCGGCCGCAGCTGGCATAGAGGTGGGGGCCGCTCCAACTGCTGCTGGTGACGGTGCTGGTGGTGGTGGTGGGGGTGTGATGGAGCACGATGGACCAGAGGTGCTCGATGAAGAGGATGACGACATGGTCAGCCAACGAAGCAGTCCACACACACACGTCCCCCCCTTCACCCATCCACCGATCCATCCATCCATCCCTTTGTGTGTGCAGGATGACATTGGAGGTGACGGTGCGTCAAAGGGTGACGACGGGTCCAACCAGTCGCTCGACAACGACGAGTCTGACGAGGACGACAAACGGCCGCTCATGCCGCCCCCACCTCAACCAGCCCACCCACAGCCACAGCCACCAGCACCAGCACCAGGAGCCTCAGGCAAGCCAGGCCAGCAGCGACGGGCTGTCGTCTGCCTTGATGACCAACCACAGCAGATGCCCGCGGCCCCTCCTGCGCCTGCGTCGTTCCGGCCAGCCATGCGGCCCGTCGGCGGCAATGGGGACAATCGCAACGGCAACGGTGGCAATGGCGGCAATGGCAATGGTAATGGTGGTGGTGGGGTGTCCAGTGCTGTGAGCCGTCCCGTGCCAGCGGCCAAGAAGATGCCGCACAAACCCAGCATGTGATGTGGTGGTGTAATGGTCGATCGACAAGAGAGGCAAGGAGGCTGGCCAGTGTGGCGGGGCAGCTCAGTGGCCTGGTGTGAGGGAGCGCGTCCGTGGCAGACAGACAGACCGACAGAGCGTGCCATGGACCGGTGCGCAGAGACACATTGGGTGTGTCACAGTCGTTTGTGTGTGGCAACTCGATTGATCCAGACATGATGGATGGAGACTTATCATGTCTGGATACTTCATCGCATTCCAATGCCGCTTTCATGGTATTGCCGCGTCCATTCATGACCTTCCTTCGCATCGCACTTTCAACGTCGAGTCTCTTTCCCTCATGGCGTGTCATACATGACATAGTGCAACCATCGGTAAAAAGATTGGCGGTCGCATGGGTCACACACACACTCACACATCGCACACCGTCCGGACGTCTGCCACCTCCCATGATCTTCTGCATCGCAGAGCAAAACGACCCCACGCCACACACACACACACACCGTTCCTCTGCCGCTCCATCCCTCCCCCACCCAGCCATCCTTCCGCGCGCATCATGGCGAATCTAGAAGTACATAAATATCCACAACAGAGAGGTGCGAGCGACATGTATCCACACAACACATTCACAGGCACAAACACGTGCTCACATACAGACTGCCTCGACATATGCTTGGCATTGCGATACCGGGGGGTGCGATCAACCATCAGACGGACAGACACAGCACGGACAGAGGGAGGAGGGAGATCTGGCGGGGCAGCCGGCCTGTACACGCGCGCTCTGCGCCAAAAAAGCGGATGAAGATGCCAGGATGACTAGAAAACCTGGCGGATCGACTAGACTGGCACAACGAGAGATACATGTACTTCTCTCGCATGGGCAAACACTCTCTCAGCGCTCTACAGCCAGCCAACCAGCCAGCCTCTCCCTCCCTCCCCTCCTCCCTCCCTCCTCACTCCACTCCACCCATCGTCCATCACATCATGTCATGTCAGTACCCACCAAGGTTGCCATCGGCTTGCGACTGAGAGATGGTGCCCAGCTCGCCGCCACCGCTGCTGATGAAGCTGCTGCTGAAGAACCCCCCTCCCTCGTTGCGCCGCTCAGCCTGTGTTGGGCTCCTCTGAGCGGTCGCTGACACACACCCGCTATCCGTGACGACCAAGCCGGGCGGGCAGACAGACGGCGCCGACTGCAACCGTCGGGTGCCCCCGTTGTCCTCCTCGCCACTGCTGGTCGTGTCGAGTGATGGTTGACAGAATATGCCGTTGTCGAAGGTGCCGGCGGGGCAGGTCCGCGTCACCTGTGCCGCGGGGAATGTGGCGGATGACGACCCGCTCTCTCGACTGCCGTACTGGAGCTGCCTCCTCCTGGTGCCTCCGTCAGCCGTGTCGTCGTTCTCGGGCTGACAAACGACGCCGTCGAAGACCATGCCCTCGGGGCAGACGTAGACCGCCTCGGATGAGCCACCCCCGTACCCTGACGAACCATACTGCAGCTGACGATTGCCTCCTGTGCCTTCGGTGCTCTCGGTGGTGGTGGTGGTGCCTGCCGATGGCTGACAGAATATGCCGTTGTAGAAGGTGCCAGCAGGGCAGGTTGGCGGCGCACGAGTCGTGTCATCGCCGCCATAGTACTGCAGCTGCCGACCCCCGCCCCTCATAGTGGACCGGCACATGCCGTTGACGAAGGTCTGGCCTGTTGGGCAGCTGTTGGCCCTGCCCATCCCACCACGGCCGCCACCCCTGCCCATCATGCTGCCGAACATACTGTCGTCTCCACCACCGCCGTACTGAAGGCGGCGCAGGTGGCCGTGGAGCTTGCGCACGCCACCGAGAACACACCTGCAAGTGCGGTGATCCAGCCAGCACAGCACAGCACATTCTCGTCTCAATGCGCTTGCCCGTCGTGTATGTGTGTGAACCTAGCAGGTACCTGCTGCCGTCGAATGAGTACCCCGAAGGGCATGCAGCGACTCCCTCTTCAACATCGGCTGATCTCCCCCCGCCGACAGAGATCGCAACACCCGACGACCGGCCACGACCGCTCCCGCTCGCAAAGCCGATAGAGAACCGCAGCGCACGCCTCCCACCCGACAAGACACTGTCAGAGGCGTCCACATCAGTGCCGTTGATGTGGGCCATCCCAAAAGCCGCCGCCACGATAGATGCGACGAACATCGCGCCGACGAGAGCCAAGATCCATCGCATGACGCCTCCTTCGCGCTTGGCGTGTGTGTCTTGGTGCTCCTGCATGACCGGCACTGATGGCAGCAGGCAGGTGAGCTGAGACGAGGAGGTGGTGGTGAAGAGAGGCGAGTCAGCGGACCTCTGCATAGCTGGCACTTGCTCTGCGACTGGTGTGCGGACGACGAGAGATCTTTGCTTGACATCCAGCGCTGGTCGATTTGCTCCCGTAAATTTGGGTCCGGTCGTCTCTGCACTGCCCTTTCCCCTCAAGTGCAACAATCAGCTCGGGATCAAATTGACTCAATCGTGATTGAGCAAGGTAATGGCGTGCATGTGCTGCTGTGGCGTATCAGATCCTTAGATGCATTCAAATGTCCGGCCGTCCACCCAACCACCCACACGCCCACACACACACACACACACACACACACGCGCACACACACGAGGGCAGACTCTTTCGTGCGCAGGTAGATCGTCGGCCGCCCATCAGCTCACAACCAAAACATCAAAAAACCTCTAAACCACTGTCTGTTTGTCTGTCTCTCTGCCTGCCTTCTCCCCAAGCCCACCACACCGACTGACTGACACCATCAGACTCTGCCAGCTCTCTGACAAAGTGATCACTTTCTGGGCACATATGTCTTGTAGTAGAGTGCCGCCAGGTAGAGCATTGTGTTGACAAATCCCGCCGTGAGGCAGTCCGGCAGCAGGAACTCGGGCAGCGTCGCGAACCGCACCACGAGTGTGGCTATCGACGCGCCGACCAGGGCGTGAAAAATCATCAGAGACAGCGTCAGGATGATGGTCGTCGGGTTGGGCCCCCGGATCTCCCCGATGCGCCCGCGGGAGTCCCTCTTGACCTGCATGCGCCACACACCAAAACACTCACAGGCGTGTCTCTCTGTGCTGTGCGGTGTGTGGTGTGACATTCACACCGGTGGTGCGCCTCTGCCCGAAATGAGTCCGGCAGTGAGTATGGCAGAGAGGGCCATGGACGGCCCCGCCAGCTTCGGGACGAACAGGCCCAGGGCGACCAGAGGCAGAAGGTAACTGCTGCAGGTCCGCACCCTCTTGGCGCTGGGCGACTGGATGATGCCTCCCTCCACGGACTTGCTGTAGCGCGTCAGCATCCGGCCGCCGCGGAACCATGACTTTAGTCGCTTGTTGTCTTCGATGACCTGGTTGACCTTTTCCTCTATGACTTCGTCGGACCAGCCCCGTTTGCGGCCCTCCGCCCGCCAGTACTTGGGGTCCTTCTCGGAGGGCAACTCCAACTCACCAGACTCCCACGCTGAGCAGATCAGTGGATGGATGGATGGATGGACCTTTATAGGTGTTGTGTGTGTGCGTGGGTGGGTTGGGGATGTTGTGTTGCCTACCTGCCATCATTTCGCTGATCTCGTAGTTGGATACTCTCCACCACTCGTCCTTGAGCTTGAGGCGGTCCTTGGGGTTGGCGATTTGGCTGGCCTTCTCCTCCACCAGGTCGTTCATGGTGTTCCAGTCGGTCGACCGCGGCGCGCCCATCTTCTTGTAAAACTTCAATATCCGATCCTGACCTGCACACACACACACACATTGATGGTATGGTGTGCTCTTTCTTCCTTCTGCTTCTGGTAGCTCACGTTGTTTTCTGGCCGCTTCCTTGACCCATTTCTTGTTCAACTGCCACCACACGAACCCAGCTGCCTCCTTTATCTTGAGGTTGAGCGGCAAGGCAAAGAAGTTCTGCCACCTCCTGCGCCACTGCAGCCGACGCAGATCGCGACTCCCCAAAGGCCGACTCTCACGCGCCACCGACAGTGCCGTCACATGACCGTCCGCAGGCAACGGGAACAACGGGCTGCTCGACTGCCGTCTGATCCTGCTCCTCGATAATGGTGGTGGTCCCCTCCTGCCGGCCACGAGCGAAGGTGTTGGTGGGACGAAGGCAGCGGCGGATGCCTCGATAGACAGGCAGAGAACGTGCAGGAGTGTCATGATGAGAAGGGCGAAGGTGGGAGGAGGGGGAAGCCGTAAGGGCGGAGAGGCAGGACGCGACTGAGATGACTCATCGCACCAGACAGGGTGTCGCTGATCTTCGCCGTTTGCGGCAGATCCGCCATGTGTGGTCTCCATCCTACACAAATCCGTCAGGAAAGGCTCCGAGTCCAGAGGAGCGGTCCAGAGAAACGCGAGCTTATTGGCGAGCTTTGTCGAATTCTGAAAGGAGGGGGGAGAGGGAACGGCAATAGATCCTTTCGGTAGGCACGGAGGAATGCAGCTGCACTTTGACCAAAGGATCGATGAATCTCCCATTGATCTTGCTCCTTTGTGACCTTGCATGCAGGCGGGCAGCATGCGTCGAGGCGGAAAGGAAATGTCTTCGATGATGGTCCTGTAGGGAGCTGAGGGGATGGCTCCGAAGAGAACGGCTGCTAGCAAGGCGGCTGCTGACGGAGGAAGGTCCCTGTGGGACTCAGATGAGGCCGAGTGGCGCCACTGGAAGCACCTGTACGGCGCCGCAATAGACGCTTACAAGCAGGTGAGACCAGGCCATGACAGACAGTGCTCTTCGGCTGCAGGCCTTTGATCACTTTGATTCATCCTTTTGATATGCATGCCGGAACCCATGATGGATGATGCAAATTGGTTGCAAGCAGGGCAAGGCCAAGGCGCTCGACAGCTGGTATGGTGAGGCAGGAAAAGGCCACTCGTTGCATATCATCTGTCTGATGTGTTTGTTGACTTGACGTGAGTGGCCGCAGGTATCGCGATGAGCTCATCCCATCTGTCAAGGACAGAGACCCACCGCACATGAGTGAGGCCGCTCACATTGCAAGACCCGCACACACTTACACTCAGACTGGATCACGGGTGCGTGCCTATGCGTGTGACTGTCTGCCTGCAGCCGGTGACGAGCTTGTCCGTCTGGTTGAGTGGAAGGTCACGAGGGGCAAATTCCGCCCCAACCTGAGCAAGCTGGCGGCGTCGAACGGGGCCTTCCTCGTGCAGAGGACCACTGAACGTGCGTTTGTGCAGCTGCGGGCGATAGAGGAGGGCGGCGAGGCGGCGCAGACGACGCGGCTGTCAGTTGACGCCATGCAGACCCTCACGTCGCTCAAGGGAGTCGGCCCGGCAACTGCAAGCGCCATTGCAGGTACACACATGGCACGGAGGGGCTGGCTGGCTGAATATCGGTCAGTCAATTCGTGTGTTGGTCGTTGTGGTGTCGATCGTCAGCTGTAGTTCGACCCGACATAGTGCCGTTCACGTCGGACGAGGCCGTGCAGGGGGTGCCGGGTCTCGCTGTCAAATACGACATCAAGACGTTCCAGAAATTCATGAGTAAGTCAGTGAGTAAGCGAGCGACTGTTGCTGACACACATGAGTGGATTGATGGACGCAGCCAGGTGTCTGTCTGGTTTCTTTCATCCTTCGTTGATGTAGGCAGGATACTCGAGAAGGTCGCGGCGCTGCGTGCTGAGGCGGCCACATCAAAACCTGACAGCAACGGGGTTGACAGTGATGGTGATGGGTGTGAGTGGACGGCGTTGCGTGTTGAGGAGGCGCTGTGGGCGCATCACCATTTGAGTGGCATGCCCGAGTACCAGAGGGAGGGGAGGGAGGACGACGAGCCGCCGGCGAAGAGGGAGAAGAAACAGCACTGACTGGCCTGGCGGGGCGGCCGGCGTAGGCAGGCTCGAACGTGTAGGCAGGATGAACACTGTTGTCACGGGTGGGGGGTCGGACGGACGGACGGACGGACGGACACCTCTGTGTGTCTGGGTGTATGTGTATGTGTGTGCACATAGCCGAGGATGGATGGATCGATGGATGGATGGATGGACCGTGTGTGTGTGTGTGGCTGCTCCATGGCCATGCATGGCTGAACTGTGTATATTGTCAGGATCTTCACTCACCCAGCTGCAGGGTCTTCAATGATTGAAGCCACACGCAGGCAGTCATGCCGCACGGAAGCGGTGCCGACATACGCCCCCGTTGAGCGTGAGACACACATTCGAATGGGTGTACACTGCACACGGATGTGAACAAGATACATACCCCTTACACGTCGTGTTCCCTCGACGTTCCTCCCTCCCCAATCTGTGTCGTGCCCCCTAACTGCCATTAATACACACGTCTTGACACTCTCAACCACGGACACACACGTAAACCCACTACAACGGATGTCACACTGCACTGAGGCACCTCGCTCCTTATGCTGGCTGACACAGAAAGCGGAGGGACAATGACGGCCTGACCAACACGTACGTGTGGTCGATGAGTCGGGTGGTGTCTCAGCCATGTGCAGAATACACATGTATGAGCATACAGCGCACACCACACTCCACAAATGACAAATACTACCGACGCAGCCAATATGTACCATGGACAGTCCCCTCCCACCCTTGTCCTTTTCTGTTTTCCCGTCTGTGCGTCTGTGTTATCTGTCTCTGTGTAGGTCCCAAATGTCAAAGGCCCTCAAGCTCATCTCAACGCCGCCCTGCACAATCCTCCGCTTCTTGGCCGCCCGCATGCGCATCGCACCGAACAGCTCGTCTCGTGCATCGCCCCCGCACAGCAGCCAGGCCCGGCCCCCTCCCGCCCTCTCGCACACAAACGCCCTCATCGCCTCCCACGCCGCCCCGGCGTCACTGTTCAGCCGAATGTCCCACGGCGGATTGCTCACAATCACGTCGGGCTTGTGGCGGTGCGGCAACTGCAGATGGGCAATGTCGTTGTGGGACAACTGGACGTGCTCACTCACACCAGCCCGTCTCGCTGCGTCGCGGGCCATCGCAATGGCGCCCTCCTGCCGGTCGCTGCCGTAGATAATGACAGGCGCCTCGGCCCCTTCTGCTGCTATGTCCCTCTCGCCCTCAACACATTTCCGCAACACCGACCGCCACACAGGCTCGTCGAAATCGGGCCAGCGGCAGAAGGGAAAAGGCCGCACCACAGGCGACATCATGCCATTGATGACACTGTCGCCATCCGAATCATACAGACCGCCATCCAGATCGTCGCCATAATTATCGTGCCGACAGTCCTCGCCAAGAGAGGGCCTCGGCGGCGCGTCGTAAGTCCTATGAAGGTGGGTGAGGAGGCTGACGGCCCGGCTCTCTGCGTCTGGGGCGACACGGGTCCCTTTCGTCCGATAGGGCTCGACGTTCATGTCTGCGAGGAAGGTCTCGAGGCGGACGACGCCGGGCATTCGGCGGGTTGCCATAAGGGCCGCCTCGATGGGGATCGTGCCGGAGCCGCACATGGGGTCGAGGAGCACCTGGCGCGACTGCGGATCCCACTGGGATACATACAACATACCTGACGTCCACACAGACAGGGGTTAGCTGATGGATGCTTGCTTCCTTCCCTCTCCTCCCCTCACCAGCAGCCATAGTCTCCCGCAGCGCCGCCTTGGGCATTTTCTTGCGGTAGCCCCTCTTATGCAAACTCCCTGCACCCGACCAGGCCCGATACAGCGTGCCCCTCCCCTGGTGCAGGTAAACAAACAGAGGCAGGTCGGGGTCGACGAAGTCCACCGACGGCCTGGCGCTCTTGTCGCGGGTGAGGAACTGCTTGACGATGGCGTCCTTGACGGTGAGGGCGGTGAAGTGGGTGTGCCTGAGGTCTGATGGGACGTCATTGCCGAGAGTCACCTGCACAGAGAGGGTGTCCTGGACACTCATGTAAGGCCGCCAGTCGATGGCGTTGACCCAGCTCCACAGATCATCTCGTTCCCTCAGCTCCACTGGCCCGTCGATGCGCTCGAGGACACGCTGGCCGGTCCGCAGACAGACGGTAAGCCAGTAGGGCAGCTGCACAGCGGCGGGGATGTCCTTGCTGACCCACAGAGTGACCCCTCTCTTGGACTGCTTCGTCACCACAGAGCCGCCATCGAGAGCATCGCGGCCCCCAGCCAGCTGTTCAGTGATTCTCCTCATCTCCATCTCCACAATGGTCTCCAAGCCAGCCGCACAAGGGACAAAGAACTCACGCATCGCAGTCGGATCGAAGTTGCTGTCACGACGTGGTCTGCCGAAGGGCTGCCGTCGTCCTCTCTGAGCTCCCCTTCCGCCAATGGATCTCGCTGTGGGCGGTGAGCGCCGCCCTGCTGCGGCTGAGAGCGACGTTGGTTGGCTGGCTGCCCTGCAGCCAAGAGGGCCGCTGGAAATGGCTGAGAATGCCCCATGCGCATGAGATCTCCTAGAGGCATCGACCATCGCCATCACGCTGAGCACCGCCATAAGTATTGGCAGAATGCGCCGTCCTCCTGGGTGCCTCTTCAGCTGCTGCGTTGTCGGCGGTCGGTGAGTGTGCCTTTGCGAGGGCGGCGGGGCGAGATGCATGGATATAAAGGGTCGGGAAGCCTCAGCATGAGCCACAAGAACACAGATCTTGCCAGAGGTCCGTCTCGGTGTCGCTGGCGTCCAGCGTCCAGGGCTTGGGGTGTAGGGTTCGATCGGAGCACCCTTCGAAGTGAGGCAGGATGGAGCTGCTGGCGGAGATGGCGTGCATAATGATGCTGAAACGACGAGGCAAAGCTACGCTATGGAAACTCTGAGGATCTGGTGAACAAAGTGACGTGAAGCTCCTCAGCGATGAGTGCACCGTCGAGCACGACTGCCCCGTCGCTTCAGAGCCTGTTGGAGAGTCAGAAGGAGTGGGCCCGCGCCATAGTGTTCGACGGCAAGGGCCACATCATCGCCCGGACCAGCAGTGCAGCCGCGGTGCAGGAGTCGGAGATTCGGTCCTACCTGACCGCCCTGGACGACCGGGACACCACCATCGGGTCGGGCTTTGTGTTGGAGGGAGAGCGATTCGAAGTACACCGCTTCCATCCGCCGCTCGTGTACGGTCGGCGGGGCGGCCCCGAGTATGGAGAGGGCATCGCACTGGCCAAGGGGACGGGCCGCAGTGGGGAGGCGCTGTTCTGTCTGATCACCTACACGCTGCCGGTGCTGTCTGCTCGTGCGGTACCTCAGCTGGTAAAGTTCTTCAGGACCCATCTAGGTGACCTGCCGCAGTGGGAGGTGTCTGCCGTGGCGGGCCTCTCAGCCACCGAGGGAAATGGGGGATGAGGGCGGGGAGGGAGAGAGAGAGAGAGAGAGAGAGAGAGGGAGAGAGAGAGAGAGAGAGAGAGAGAGAGAGAGATGGGCTGTTGACCATTTTGACCGTGATGTATTGTGATGAGGGAGGGGTACATGGCGGACGACGGCTGCACTGCAGAGTGACTGAATGGATGTTCATTGGATTGTCAGACGATGGCTGGATGCATCGATGTGTTCAGGAGAGGCAGCGTCTGGCGAAGCAGATCAGGGTGAGTGAGTGGGGGCCAACATAGGGAAGACACAAACAACATGGGTATGATGATGTATCTGTGCCTTTCCTCCCGTGCCCTCAGGAGAGGCAGCGTGGCGGAGGCGGAAGAGGGTGCTGCCCGTGCAGCAACGATCCGCGCCAAATACGTCTGCACACTGCTGGGCGGGCATGACACTCACAGGGTACATCCACCCACACACACCCCCAAAAGGCACACATGTGCATCGCTGTCACCTCACTCACTCACCTGTTTCCATCTGTCTGTCTGTTGTCATGTCAATCGCTTTAGGTTTGGCGCCATCCCACTCGACGAGCACCGCCGACACACAAGACACAAACCAACGACCCTTCGCAGGTAGGCCTTGTAGTCGATGCCGTCACACACAAGACACGAGTGGTGCGTATGGATGTGTGTCCTTTCCTTTCCTATCCCTTCGTGCGGCAGAGGGGACGTGCGACGGCCGACAGGAGGTCAGCCTCCCGTGACTGAAGGATGGCCGGATGGATGAATGGAGGGTGGGTGGGTGCACCCTGACAGACAGACAGACAGACAGATGATATCATGGGTGTGGTGTGGTGTGGTGTGTCTGTCTGTCTGTCTGTCATGGTGTCTGCTGAGCGTTTCCTTAGTTGCATCCCGCAATGCCATGAGTGTGACTGACTTGGCTGCCACGGAATGACTTGAGTTCACTGCAAAGGCACCTGTGAGACACACTGACATTGAGAGTCAATCCAGTTGACAAATTCTCAGTGTGGAGAGGAAGGCCAACACACTGACACGCACACACATCGTTAACTCGACCGGCTCGCCACCCACTGCACAGACAGAGAGGCAGAGACACCCGCATGACATCCGCAGAAACATCGATCACCCCGGGCCGGGCCAGGGACTCTCCCGGGTTGTGCCTCCCATCTCCCTGGCTGCCTGCCTGCCCAGCTGTTCGTATGTGTGTGTGTGTGTGTGTGTGTCTGTGTGTGAACGGAAACAGTCACTCTCATAATCAATCGAGTGCAGTGTATGTCTCCCCTCCCTTCGCCACAGGACAATAGCCACAGGACGACGTCGAAGCATCCCAGGCCAGGCGCCTCTCGTCAGTCGGGAAATGCGATGCCGCGCCGGCCGGGCCCCGTCGACCACTCGTGCGGGGAGGGGATGAAGCCACTGTACTCGATGATTTCCCATCAGAGGACAGCAGGCAGGCTCAACGTGGAAAGGATCAGTCACATCGCCGGCAATAAACAACAAGACATCGATCAGAGACGACGCAAGTGGATGTCAGTCCGCAGTCTCCTCCCTCATCATCGCCGCTCGTGCGTACCGATGGCCTCGGGACTCTCGGAAGGAACTCTCGGAACGAACAAGTGCGTGGCCGTGTGTTTGTCTTTGTGTGGTTTTATGTGTGCGTTAGATTTATGCCCACCCACATGGCTGTCTGTCTGTCTGTCTGTCTGTGCGCGTTCTTTCCATCCGGGTCGGAAATTGCCGACCGATACCCCCGGCTTCAATGAATGGCATGAGTGGATGGATTGTCCTCTGTCTGTCTGTCTGTCTGTCCATCGGTTGTCAGTCAGTCAGTCAGTCCGCCCAGCCACTCGCGTCTCTCAGTTACTCATGCACCCGCCGCCCGTCAGTCAGTCGCCATCACTCCTTTGGCGCTTTCTTCCTTTGCTCGTCGCTACGATCGTCCCTCTTTCTCTTCATAGCCGTCGGACGGGGCGGCGATATCGATCGGTCTCCTCCACTGCCGCAGGGGGGCATGCGATTGGGAGTGGCGGGACAGTTGGGAAGTGGTGTTTGAGGGAGGGCGGCCGCTGCAGCTGCTGCTGCATAGGGTGGGCTCCTGTCACAGCACAGCGCAGCACAGCACACCAAGGCAGTCATGCATACTTGCTTGTGTGTCTCACGCCTCAGCCATCCCTGTCTCTATGTGACGTACTTGTCGTCGTATTTGAGCGGCTCCTCATACTTATCGTCCCCGCCATCCATCCACCTGTGTGGGGTTCTGCTGACTGCCGCGGCCGCTGCTGCTGCTGCTGCGGGGGGTGAAGGCTGCTTCTGGCTGCACAGCACAACACAACACAGAATGGGAAGAGAATCGATCAGTGGGCAGTGATCGATGAGTTGATGTGTCTGTCTTCTCTATCTGTTGTACTTTGGTGGCTCCTCGTACTCGTCCATTTCCTCGTCTTCAACCAAATGCATTGACTCGCCGTCGAATAGCCACCTGCGTCGGGGGCTGTCCACCGGCTGGGCCGCCGCGGCGGCCGCACAGGGAAAAGGTGGCCTCTTCTCCTCCCTGTGAGTGCGACACACAAATGGAGATAAGAGAAAAAATGGGAATAGTTGCATTAGAGGGGTGTCTGTCTGCTGCAGTGGGCGGGTCTTACTTCTTGCCGCGCATGTCTTTGTCTCCCACTCCATATGCCGTCTGGCGAGGCGGCGACACCCATCCGTGTCGGCCACCACCAGCAGCACGGCCCGTGTTGCGGAACGGCAGCGACGCTCGATCGGCCGGAATGAGTGGCGGGGCCATAAGCGGTGGGAAGTTGACTGGCGAAGGCATTTCGAGAGGCAGGAATGGCGCAGGGGACACATATGGCGCAGGAGCAGCAGCAGCCGCTGCGGGCGGGTGAGGTCCGTCGGGTGCGGCACTGCGACGCAGACGTGTCCTTTTGTCGAGCTCTCGCTGCTTGGCCGGATCGCGATTGATGCGCTCCTGGTGAGCCGCCTTCAACTGATGGACAAACAAGCAGAGATGGAGTGTCTCAAAAGAGGCATCTCTTTCTTCGATCCCTCGTGTGTGCGTGTGTGCGTGTTACCTCTTGGTGCGTGAGGGCGTCCTCCGGCTTGTACTGCCCGTCACAAAGTCGGTGTGCGCACTTGACGGCCTGTGCGTGCCGCCAGAAGGCCCTGTAGCCGCCATCCAACACGTACACCATCGGATAATCCTCCTGCAGACAGACAGACAGAGACAGACAGACGAAGGGAGAAGGCACAATGTCATGCTGCTTGTGGCTCAGCCTGTGAGTGTGTGGTCTTCTTCCTTACTGAGCTGCCATGGCTGTCGCGGTAGTCGGTTATGGCTCTCATTAGATTGGGGCCCCGCTCCTGTGAGTACTCACAATGGACAATGACCACCTGACACACAAACACACACACGTATAGACACAGAGATGCGGCTATGCATTCACACAAGTCTGTCTGGCTGGCTGGCTGGCTGGCTGTGTGGCGGTCTCTCTCACGTGGTTTTTGTCGTGGCGCGGCTGTCCATTTTCATCCCACAGCGCGTCGATGGCCTCGGCATTGGTCCTGGCGTGGATGGCCTTGCGGATGTGCCCGCCTGCCGACACACAAACACCGACAAGGGCTGTCCGTCGGGATGGCGCCACACGGCCTCGTTGGTTCTTCTGTCTTTACCGTCGGACTCGGCCTCCCAGCGAGCGTCGAGGATGGTGTAGCCGGAGAAGCCCCTGTGGTCGAACTTACCCTGTAGGAACCTCGCCAGCTGACACACACACAGAGATGGAGGCAGACAGAGATGGACTCGTGCTGTTTGATTGCACGCCTTTCTGCAGTACTGACAGTGTCGGGGCTGATGCGCGGCCACCCTCTCAATCCGGCGTGCTTTGCCTGCCTCATCTGGACCTGCGGCAGACGAGGCACATCGCCGTCACCACGACGGACACTGAAGATAAACAGATACGCAACGAGAGATCAATCAATCAAACAGGCAAGCAGCGCAGCGCCAAGCACTGACTGCCCTTCTCCCAACTCATCCACTCACTTGGCCCTCTGCTGACACTCGAACGGCGTGTGCGGTGTGTGCGGCCCCTCCCTGTTGATGGCCGCTGCCGCTGCTGCAGCAACAGGCGAGCCCTCTTTCTGCCTGCACAAACCCACACAACATGGCAGGACACAAGGAGAGGGTCCAGTGGGCAGTGGTCGGTTGAGTGCTGTGTCTCCTCTTACTTGTTGTACTCTTCCTCCTGTTTGGCCAGGTACCTCGAGTCGCCGTCGAATATCCATCTGCGTGGAGGGCTGTCGGCCACCGGAAGCTTCCCAGCGGCCGCAGCGGCCGCGTAGGGATACGATGACCCCTTCTCCTCCCTAAGTGCAACACACAGACAGAGATGCAAGAAAGGTCACAATGTTGTCAGTGTGTTGTCAGTGTGTCTTACTTGGTGCTCCGCAGCTGCCCGTAGTGCCCCGCCCCCATCCCGCCCATAGACACGTCTCCCTTCCCTCCACCCGCACCATCGGTGGCCATCTTCTGCTGATCCGCCGCTGAGGGCTCCAAGGCCGCTGCGGCCGCTGCAGCGGCCGAAGGCGCCTGCTTCTGTTGCCTGCATGGACAGGAATGGACAAGAGACCGATGATTGGGAGAATGCCTTCAACTTCGAGCTATTTCGACCTCTCTCACTCACCTGCTACGCCGCGTCTGACCGTCTTTGGCCTCATAGTCCTTCGCCAGACTGAGACGCCTCTCGGCCCGTCCCGCCTTTCCCCGCTCCCCCGTAACCAATCCCAATCCCAATCCCTCACCCATCGCCCCACCGATACCCACACCGACGTCACGGCTGTCCGTCCACTGTTTGCGAGCGGCGAACAGCCTGTCTCTTTTCCTCTGCAGGGGCTCGGTGTCCTCCTGGTCATCGTAGGGCCCCATGAGGGCATCTCCCTTGTCGATGACCTCCTCCCTCCTCTCCCTCTTCACAGGCCGACAGCGCTGAGTAGGCCGACTGGTGGGGTTCTTCTGGTCGAGGGCCGGTGCGGTCCGCTTCTTGCGCTCCTTGGCGGGCTTGGCGACATGCTCATGTGCGTCGGGATTGGCCAAGGGCTGCTGGACCTGATCAGCTGGACTGCCGGAGGCCAACTGATGAGCTCCCGCGGCCTCGCTAACAGACTTGTTGGCTTCGGCAGCCTGATGGATCACACAGACGGACAGACAGACGGCAAGGACGTCACAATGAGGCCATGCGCCTTGAGTTGACGTGCGCTTCACGCTCAAGAACCGGTGAGACACCACACGGCCCCCGACGGCGTGTGGCTGACTCTCCTTATGCTCACCTTCTGTGCTCGTGTCTGTACCACCATTCTTCCTAAGAATGACTGGCGATAGCGCTCTTCCCCTTGTGACGAATCAACGAAGCAACAAGCAATTGCAATGGCTGCAGTGGGTGGGAGCGGCGGAGACGATTCGACGAAAGCAAAGTCACTCAGCTGAGGGACCCTGACCGTCCAGAATCTGCTGCTGATGCGACCGGACTGCTGGTGAACGACAGAGAAGTGTGGCGAAGACGATGAGGAGGAGAAATCATATCCTCGATGAGACGCCCCCAATAAAAACGTTTCACGAAACTAGCTCGCACGCCTGGCCGCGTGTGGAAATGAGGCACTTTGTTGGGAGCTGCGGGATGCCTTTCGATTGGCCATGAAAAAGGAAAGATCTGCGTCGGCCTGAGATTGGCGGCGGCGGAGGTATCTCACTGAAATTGTGGCAGTTCGGTGAAGCGAACAGCAGGAGGAATAGGTGAGTATCGATGCGCCCATGCCAAACAGAGGCCGAGGCTGTGCTGTGATGGGGGCGTGCCGTGTGCCAATAGCCGTGTGCTTCTCCGCAGATCTGTTGTGTCTGAGTGGCCATCTTTGTGCTTTGTTGACTCTGTGTCAGAAGGTGAGTCTGGCGTGCACGATGGACGCACCGCCACCGTCCTGCTGTTCATTCATGTGTTCAGTGAGTGCAGCAGAGATGTCTTCTTCTGCTAATTGTGGTGGATCTCGAGGTGACGCGGAGCGCCAGTGTGTCGACGGCCATGTGATTGATGCTTCAGGTGAGATGTCACAAGCACACGGCTGACAGACGGACAAAGAAATAAGTGTTGTGCACCTCATGTGTCTGCATCCATTTGTGTGCGTCGGCACAGGGCTGAGTGCCATGAGTGATGCGGCCGCTCACCACCAGCAGCAGCAGCAACAGCAGCACCAGCAGGAGGGGCACAGTCCATCGGCATCGGTGAGTGAGGCACAGCACATCACTGGGTGGATAACTCAGTCTCACTGAGGTGCCTTTGGTCTCTGTCTGCACAGGAGTCCCAAGTGTGTGGCGGGTCGGGCGACGTCTGTCGTCGGCTGGCGGCCATACACTCACTCATAGAGCAGGTGAAGGACACACAGACATCGACGCACTGAGGGATGCACGTCGCGATGGCGTATGTCTGTCTGTGTGTTCCCTTTGTCAGGTGGCCAGTGAGGTGTCGGCCGTCGAGCCTCTAATAATGACATCCATTGCCACTGACCAGGTGAGGGAAATACTCGCAGCGCAGAGAGAGAGAGACGGGCGGCTCGACACATCTCCCTTTACCACATGTCGTCTGTTTTGTCATGGGAATTCAGGCGCCCATCATTTGCCAGAAGTGGTCATCTGTCAAGTCGACCATACCCACCCTCTCGGCCATGTCCGGTGCCGTTCAGACCATCGCCCACCACATCTCGGCCGCCCCGCCCCCTCCCCCCTGTCAACCAGACACCACAAAGCAACCTGGCACCCCTCACCCCACCACCACCACCACCACCCCCACAGCCGCTGCTGCTGATGGTGACAATCCAGTTGACGTGACGGCCAACCGGCTCCCGGCCGACGTTTATTGCGATGGTGTGCTGGGCTACCTCCCTGTCGACGAGGCCATCAGTTCGGCGAGGGGAGCCAACACCCACCACGGCAAACAGCTCATCAACGAGGCCTTCATGCTCAAGCGCATCAACGGCTCGCTCGACAGCAACCATTTGACCGGCGTCGTCGACGTGCATCGGTCGCCGTTCGATTACTACAGCAAATGCGCCTATGCACTGGAGCAAGGAGGGGAGCTCTTGCGGCAGCAGATGGCCGACTTCATTCACCTGGCGCGCAATCACAAGCTCATCAAGGCACTGCCCCTGCGGCTGTCGGCTGATTCGCTGCCCACCGCTGCAGCATTCAAGGAGCTGCCACTCGCCCTGGCCGTCTACAAGGCATTCGGCCACTTGCTGAGCCACCGGGGGACCAGCCTGGCGCTGGAGCGGGTGGAAGATGATGACGACCAAAGTGAGAGTGACCAGGCCAGTGATGATGAGAACGACGATGGCATGGACGAGGGGGGAGATGAGGAGGACGGCGATGACGACATCGACCACCAGCAGGAGAGCGGGGGCGGTGACGCGAGTGGCGGAGAGGGACCAGGGGGCGATGGTCCAGGAGGGCAGCCAGGCAATGGACACCATGGTGATGGTCATGGTGGGGGCGTGACGAGGCAGCGCTACAGGATCGGCAATGTCGACTTCACGACCGTCCCCCTCGCTGATTTGCCCCCCAACCACCGCTACCGCAGCACATACAACGAGAGCGATCCCGTCATCCGCAGTGGGGGCTTAGTCTTCCCATCATTCACGGCATTCCTCAAGGGGACGGTCCTGATGGAGTGGTGTAAGCAAGAGGGGGTGGGGGAGGAGAAGGTGACTGATGCTTATGTCGGTCCTGGTGACACTCGCTATCGGTCCCTGCTGACGGCACCGACCATCGATGGCTTCAAGACCGTCGACGGCATCGATGAGCATCCACCCCAGGGATATGACGGCCGCGAGCGACTTATCATCGTCAAGGGCACAGCAGCCAACGACACCATTACAGCCTATCTGCGGCTGGTCTATGGCCGCATCAGCCTCTGGACGACCGAGGCGCCGACAGAGGGCCGCACGGCCATCGAGCACTATCCCATTGCTGTGAATGTCGCCCGCCCCGTGCTGGCCAAGTACGGGCTGGAGAGGACAGTGCTGGGGTGAAGCAGCCAGGCGACCAGACGGTGGTGGGAGAGGGAAGGGTGCGGTGGATGGGGGCGTTGAGGTCGGGAGACAGATGCGTCTACGGACTGACTGACTGACTTGCCTTTGATTGATGAGCGTATGGTTTTCAGTTGACGTGCGAATGAGTGACACGGTGGCTTTTCGTGTCTGTGGTCCAATCCAACGCCATCATGGCAAATGTCATAACGTTAACATGTTCAACATCGACCAGCTACACACACACATACACAGAGATGCACTGACACAGTTAGGATGCCCCTCTGCGTGTCTGTCTGCCTATCGAGCTGAGAAGAGTGTGGTGTAGTTGGTGGCTGGCGGGTCGGTGTCGTTCGGCAGCTGATCCCACTTGTTGAAGATACCCCGGTTGTACGCCGTATGCCGCCACGGACCTGCACACATGTACACACCATGTCACACACACAGAGACAGACACCGCCATGCGGCTCTCGCCTACCGCCGATCCAGTGCTGCGGCTCGTCCCGCGGCCGGAACTGGTGAATCAGTGGCGGCGGGGAGGGCGTCTGGTGCACAAAGTTCGACACCATGTAATAAAACGACGCTGACGAAGACGACGAGTGCCGCTGCCGGGGGCTCCCTGACGGGCTCTTGTCGCGCGCGCCCCTCCCTGATTGATAGCAGTGCAGTTGGCGCAGGCCAAGGGGTGGGAGGCACTTTCTAAGAGTTTGTTGCGTTGGCTGACTGACGTTGGTTCTTCCGTTTGATGGCGTATTTCATTGTCTGGCCCACGAGTGCCTGGTCGGGTGAGACGGCATCGCCTGCAGTCGACTGGGGCAGCAAACGGGTGAAGCCCTGGACGACAGACCACAGACACAATCCAGTGTCTCTCTCTCTCCCTTCGTATGTCTCTCTCATCCACCCACCCTCGGTATGGAGGTCTTTTCGATTTTCTCTATCAGTGTATTCTGCCTCTTGAGCCACGAAGTGTAGGGCCGCTGGGAAGCGCTCTGTGTCGCCCCCTTCGCCATCCCCGACACATCCCTGCCTGCACTGACGGGCCCCTCAGCCGCCCTGCGGGTCGTCAGCCGTACAGTGGGCGCCTTCGACTCAGGGGAAGCCTCCCACTTCTCCTCGGGATGCAGCATCTGCCGCGCTCTCTCTTTGGTGATGGTGGGATAGTACCCCCGCTCGCTGACATCCCCACTGAGCCGCTCCACGCCCTCCAGACCGCCCCCAGCCTCCTCGAAGCTCAGCAGTCGCATTCGCTCGCCGTCAGTGTCGCTCATGACGTTCATGCTCTGTGTGCGCTGCGGCTGGGCCGCCAGCCGGTCGTCGGTCCGCGGACTGCCGCCGAAGGATGAGGAGGCGGCGACGCCCCGCTCGCTCTCACTGTCGCTCTCATCCTGCGCACGGATCACCATGGGGCGAGACACGGGCACTGGCGGCTGTGGGATGCTCATGGTTGAGAGGGGGAGAGGCGGGAGGAAGGGAAGTGGTGGCTTGGTGCTGATTGTTGTGGGGGGCTGCTCGGATGGCGGTGCGTGCGGGGCTGGCTGGGATGAGGGGGGTGGGGGTGGGCGGAATACGCGTGACTTGCGGTGCTTGAGGCCTGCCACACGAGGCACGAAGTCCTTGGACGCGTCTGGGGGACACAAACAAAGGCAGACAGCAGGGAGCGGAGCCATGTCGGAGCACTTCTCTCTCTGTCTGCCTTTGTGTGTGTCTGTCTGCCTGCCATCGTCTTCCACCCACATTTGGACACTGTACGTGTGGTCTTGTGTCCCTCCCCATCTCTCATTCCCCCCTCCGCCCTCATCTGCCTCGACGGATGCCCCACAGGTTTGACCGTGTCGGTGCGCACTGTGAGGTGCCCCGGCCTGGGCGTCACAAGGGCCGTCCCGGACGCAAGAGCACTCGCCAATGGCGACTCCTCGGTACCACCAGCTGCAGCAGCAGCCACTTTTGCTGCTGTTGCCGCCTTGTCTGCCTGAGGGCGAGCAGTCAACGGGCTGGTGAGACGGGAGAAAGAAGAGACAGCGACGGATGTTTGGCATTCATGTGTGAGATTCATGTCACGTACCCTGGTATTGACAGCCGGGGGCTGGCGCGAAATGCAACCGACTCACCTGCACAAACCAGGGAGAAGCGGAGGCAAATAGGTGTCGTAAGAAAGGACAGATCCCCCCCACCGCTTTGTGTGCGCATGACGACGCCCTTCACCCAGCTGCTCACTATTGTCACCGTCTCGGGGTACCTGCACACACACCACACACACAATGGGGGCGTTGTGGCTGAGAAGGTGAATGTGTGTCACCGTCTTGTGGTCCTGAAGTGCATGGCGAAAGCCGGGCCCAGCTGGATGATCTGGGGGCCTTTCTTGGACGACCCCAGCACCTCTATCGGTGGCTGCACCGTGTGGTGCACCTCCCATGTGTGACGGCACGGAGCCACAAACGACACGGGCAGGCCTTTCAGCGACCAGTGAGACATCGCTCTACACATTACAGCGGTGGGTCGCCATCCATACATACTTTTGCTGTCTCTTCTTTCTTCTGTCTCGCTGCGTGCCTCTTATTGATGTTGACGAGGACTTCGGTGGAGCGGACCTCTGATGGCGTGACGCCCTCGAAGTCGCCACCCGCACCCTCCAACACCGCGGGGCGCACGCGAGCACGGTATGTTGACCGCCGGCGCAGCTGACACACATAGACACACAGACACACAGACAGACAGACAGACAGACAGGCGAGAGACACCCACATGCACATCATGCACACTTTACACAGGTGTGATGTCTGTATGGCTGACAGTGTGTCCATAGCTCTGGAATTCCTCAGCGGCGGGGGGGTAATGCAGGCCGACATTGCGGCAAGGATACCACTCGGACGGCACCATCTGGGCCGCAGACGATCGGGACGTGGCCGCCATCTCTGGCGAGAATGGGGGGATCGTGTCGGTCTCCTTGGCCGCCAAATGCCGACGGTACACATCGCCTGCTCCAAGGGAAAAAGGACACACATGTGTTTGTGATGCAGTCAAGAAAGGAAATGGAAGTGCAATCGACTTATTTCCACCGGTGGCGAAGTCCAAGAAGCAGTCCTGGTCATCCAAAGTGGACAACTGCAGGCAGGCAGACAGAAAACAAGACACCGACACCAGCAAGGGGTCACGCATGAGACACGCAGCCCCTCAGTCGTGCGCACCAGTGTCTTGTCAGCGGCGATTCGTTTGAGGTCGCCGATGCGTCCCCCTCTCCCGCGGTTGTTGAACACGCGAATCCTGTCGGCACCTGCACACACACATGGATGCAGACACACACCAATGCGGGATAGACCGGATCTGCTCACGTGGGTGTGCCTACCGATGGACGCGATGAATACGAGCGACTGGAGTGCCGATCCCACACAGAGGGTGGGTTTGTCGCACCGCAGACACATCCGCAGAAGGGCTCCCACCTGGTGCATCACCGGCGCCCACGGCAATACATTCGCCTCTCCTACACATAACATACAAACACCCCCCAGAGAGGGAGGGAGGCGGTATTTGCAGTGAGTGCAGGTGCCGATTCCAATGTACTATGACATTGTACCGGCGATGCACACGACGTCGAATGCATCGAAGGCCCTCTGCGCCGCGTGAGACGTGAACTCTGTCGCTGTGCACAAACACACGCATAGACAGAAGGGCCCGGAAGAACCATCCTTACATAAGGTTTGCATCGTCAGCATGTTTGTCTGTGTCCCCTTTGTGCAGCAGTTGCTGTGTACCAGGGTCATTGAGCAGCGGCAGCAGCTCGGAGCGGCCCCTGAGGCAGAATGAGAGTGTGGTGAGTGACTTGGCGTATGGTTCCTCGAAGGCGGTGTGTAGGATGGAGAGGAAGTCCTTGAAGGCACTGCGGCCCTCAGCGCCGAGGCCGTACGCGTCCACCACCAGCACGCGCATCCCTTTTCTTCGCAGATGGGCGAGCTTTTCGATGGGGGAGTGAGACTGGCCCCCACCATCAGACTCCGTCGCGTGCAGCGCTGAACGTCTGTGAGGCCGACAGTGGCTTCGTTCGGTCGTCACCATGTGGTTCGCTATGATGCTCTCGGGTAAGAAAAAGAGAGGCGCTTCGTGGCTGGCAGTTCTCGCGTGGCGTGGGGAGGGAACCAGCGGTGTATTGCGCATGAAGCTGGGAGAAAGGATGCACAAGCACAAGCATTGTTGATGTGCGGATGGGTTGGCGTCTTGAGTTTTGTCTCATCCTCACCTCTCCCTGTGTCTGTGTGTTGGTCGTGTGCGCAGAGGAGGGCCACATCCGTGTGGCCACCCTCCCCAACCACCTCAAACAAAACAACGACTTCACCAAACTATGGTACACACACACACACAGACACCCACACACATGCATGTGTGGCGGTGTGTGGGTGTATGTGTGTGCAGGTACGAGGAGGTGCATCTGCCGCCCGACCAGCGTCTGAGTCCCATCTTCCGGCTGGGCCGGTTCCTCTTCATGATGATGATCCTCCTCTGCATCACCGCACAAACCACATCCTGGCGGACAGCCTTCATCGAAGTGCAGCTCCTATACAGGCAGGCAATACTTGCACACACACAGATAGACACATACATACACGTGTGTGTGTGTGTGTGTGCAGGACGGGTTGCCTGACGGCGTGTGAGGAGCTGCACTTCCCCGAGTTGGTGTGTCACAAGGTGTCGACGTCGCTCAAGTTCCGCGGCAACAAGTACGACGAGCTCTTTGTATTCCCCGCACCACCGGACGACACCACACTCTCAAACTCAGACTACAGACAATGCCGATACTTCGCTAAGTACGCTCGTACACATCTGTGATGTGTGTACACAGCAGCAGGTACAGGTGTGTGTGTGCGTGTGTGTGTGTGTGTGTGTGCCCCTTGTTTGTGGCCAGGAAGCCCAAGACATACCAGACCACCCCCGATGGCCGCGAAGAGCGCCTGCAGACATGCTTCTCGGCCTGCACGTACACACAATTGCACACTAGACAGAGAATGACGTGACGTCTCTGTGTCTGTCTATCACACATGGATCTTCATCAGCCGTGCGTCAGAGGTGAGCAATGACGACTTCGAGGACGACAACCGTGTGGCGTGCCCCACCGGCAGCAGCGAGACGCCCACCGACCTGCTTTGTGTATCGCCCGACGACCCAGGAGAATTCTGGTTAACACTGCGGACACACATACACACATCTGTAGGAAGGGAGAGACGCATGTGTGTGGTGTGTGGTGTGTGGTGTGTGGTGTGTGTGAATTGGTATCCGACAGGGCCGGTCCCAATGAGGTGTGTGCGGACAGCGAGGGCAAGTGGTGTTTCTCCTGGCTGCACCTGCTGATCATCATATGCGTCGCAAACCCCCTGCAAATCGTCGCAGAGCTCCTCATCATATTCATTCTACAGCTGCGTGAGACTGACCGACAGACACACAGACACACCACAAAGGCCCTTACATGTGTGCGGATGCGCGCGTGTGTGTGTGAGGTCAGCGAGTGATGAGGAGGAGGTGGAGTGTCAGCAGCCGGCCATCAAGTGCGGCGTGCAGATGCTCCTCGTGTCTCTGTTCGGTGTGTCGGCCCTGCTTACCGTCGGGCCATTCATCGTGCAGGGGAGGGCAGGTGAGGGCGGGGCAGAGACACGTGCGTACGCAGCTCCGAGAGAGCGCCGTGGTTTCTGTGTGTGTAGGCAACCCTGAGGTGGTATGGATGACCTTCATCATCGTGCTGGTGGTCGACCAGATCAAAAACCTCCTCATACAACCAATTGTGAACTGACACACAGAGGGAGCAGACTCAGGAGAGACGACATTTGCATGTGTATTGTGTGTGTGCATGTATGTGTGTCAGATATGGTATGTGTTGATCCGTCGGTGCGGCCGCGTGCACCCCGGTATACAGGTGAGCAACTAACTGGATTGGTGGTCGAATAAGGCCTGCCTATGACGTCCGGTGTCTGCCGACTCACACCGCGACTGACAGGAGTACAACGAGGAGTATCTCCGCCAGTGGCCATTCCAGGACTCATTCATGTACGCAATACGTGTGGTAGGCAGACAGCCATCCATCTACCTCCCTCCCTCCCTAGAGGGCCTGCCTATGTGCATGTGTCTCATCTGTCCTCTGCTTTCATGTCCTCCCTGGTTCAGGACCCAGATTCAGCTTGCAGTGGCCGACTTCATGGAGCTCAGACCAGTCGCATACGCTATATTCGGGTCCGTGGGAGGGAGTAGGGGAGGGTACATCACACACATCACATGGACGCACACAGACATTCTCAAAGTGGCATTCGTTGTGGTCTGCTCTCCCCGTCTGTATGTGGCTGGATGGCTGTCAGTCTGGTGGGTTTCTACAGCATCTTTGTGCTCGTCGACGTCTTCTTCGGCTACCTCTGGGCATCTGACAACGTATGGACCCGCACAAACCACACACAGTGACACAGCGAGGCGCCCATGCTCGTATGCACGTCCACCATCCACCAGGTGGCGCTGCACACGATCTATATCATCGACATGACGATCCTGAGTTTCTTTGTGCTGGAAATCATCCTCAAGACATTCGCGTACGGCGCCGACTTCCTCTACAACATCTGGAACCTCGCCGACGCCGCCGTCGTGCTCGTCTCATTCTTCTTTGGAATCTTCCTCGGCCGAGGGAACGTCAAGGTGCGTTTGTGAGCAAAGTAGTGGATGGATCCACCTGTTCATAGTCAGTGTTATGAATACTGGTGTGTGGTGTGTCCTGGGTTGTGTCGTGTGTGTGTGTGTCAGAAACTTGCGTTGCTGCGTATTCTGCGTCTGATGCGTGTGCTGATGGTGCTGCGCAAGGTGTCTGAGGGCCGCAAGAGGCTCAAGAATATGAAGAGAAGCGCCTTCGGGGTGGATGTCTCGTCACAGGTGG